CCCCAAAACCCCAAAACCCCAAAACCCCTTTATTAAAGTTAAAGATTGAGTTAGTTTAACTACAATCTATCCTCACATGACTTTTGTGCTAATAATAGTCATCTAACTTTGTTTCTCTATGTTCAAAACTTGAGTTATTCAAATGTGCTCTTGTATTCTGGATTGATTTAGTCAGAGCCATTGTTTGATTTCTCTTACCTACACCACTGAATATTTAAACTTTACGATTTATTTTGTTGTAGGTTCTGGTTCTCCCTATTATTCTAGTCGATCTATCCTTATCAAGGTTGCAATACTCATCTCAAATGTTGCTTGAAATTATACTATCTTCCCTTTTCTGATGATTTCTAAAAGTGAGTAAGAGACCCTTACTTTTGCTCTGGGTGTTCAAGCCGCTTTGCCTTGGATTTCAATCCTGAGAAAGAAGGCATCGAGTTCGCAGTAGTCAACGTATTACCTATCTTGTACTTATGTATATGAGTTCTTAATTTCTGGTTTAATGGTTTCTTCCTTGGATCAGTAAAGGCATTCTAAAATTTAGCTGGAACTATTCTTACCTTGTCTATGATACTCTCATAAAACTTATTTATGGCTTTGATAAATCTCTTTAAAAGAGGTTCCATCTTTGTAATTGTATGCGCTAATAGTCGATGTCCTTTTAGAAAGTTTGGTTCCATTATAATTTCTCCTTTCTTTAGAATTTGTAGTTTTGATATTCCTAGCTTTAGTCAGAGATTTTATTTTTGAAGGTTCTCTCAATATAACAGGCTTTTGACTAATAGTTGCAAAAGCTCTGATACTATAGGACCTTTTCTGAGGACAAATCGTAGTAGAGGTAGTTGAAGGATTTTTGCTCATCACATCTGAGCCCTTAGTTCTGTCAGCTTTTGATAGAGTCCTTTCATACTGCTCTTTTGCCTATTAAATTTATACATCAAATTACATAATTATCATATCGGGATTTGATCTTCTTCTGTTGTTGAGGAGACATAGAGTGTAACATCATCCTACTGAACAACTTCTCATTAACTCTTCGTCTCATTTTTGCCCCCTTTATACTCTCTAATGAATTTTGTCTCTTTTCTTTCCCTCTAATAATTTTCTTCGAATGTGTGTTGAAACTAAAATATGAATGAAATTTTACTTTTTGTCCAGTTTAGATTTACCATTTACCTTTGGCTCAAGAGAGGGATCAAAGAGGTTCTTCGTCAATCGGTGATACTCAGTATATTCGTTTACAAAGGGAGAATCTTTACTAATTCCCAATTTTAGATTGGTATTCTGGTTATTTCGAAAATTTATGAGACTCTATAATGTGCATTCATTAAACATCAATTCTTTGTAGTTACCAGAAATAGGACATACTCTCATTCTTAAGCAGCTTTTTAAATACTCCCTTTGGAATAGTACTTCTGTTCATTATCCATGACTACAAGGTGAGGATTTGAGCTCATATAATCAGGCCATTCAATAGAGATGGTATTTCTTCTGTTAAAACTCTCTTTAAGGTTCTTCTGAAACTTCTTTATGTTTGAACTATACATTTCGCAGAAATAAATTTTAGATAGAATTAAATAAATTTTATAAAAAGGGGTTTTGGGGTTTTGGGGTTTTGGGGTTTTGGGGT